TTCGACATCTGGCAAAGATCAGTCCCAGTTGGAGTGCTCCATCTCTATCTCACCATCTCTCTATCTCTATCTCTATCTCTGCCTCCCTTCGCTCTCAATCTCTGCCTCACTATCTTCTCTCCATCTCGATCTACCTTTGAAACCCTTCTAAACCGAAACCCTAATTCAAACCCTCGATGAGTTCTACATAAGGCGATCAGATGATGAGTTATATATATGACAATCCACTCTCACAACCGATGATGAGTTCTCTGCTTTGTCAGCTAAATTTTAAAACCAAAAAATGATTGATGAAGGGTTTAAATAGTCATCTAGAAGGCCCTAATTTGTTGGGGTTCAAGATCAATTCCTAGGGCTGGTTGATTTTTGATGGCCACGACAGTATATAGCATCATTTGTTTTGGTCAGCTGAGGTTAGTTTAGTTGTCTACATTTCATTTCTTCTTGGAATTAGATTTCAGATTGTATCAAAAATAAAGCTTTTATTGCTTCCTCTAGATATCTATCTTCCTTTTAGTCATGCGCGTACATAATTATGAATAAATCTGCAAACACAGATATCAATTTCGTACAATTTGACACAAAATGTATATGAATGAATAAGATTTTTCATAAATAGAGTCCCATAAGATCTTTCATCCTAAGAGTCATATGTTCTTTGCTGGAATATGGACTGTCACTTGAGAGGTGAGTTGCTTTCTATCATGGATTTTAAAGATGGGAAGCTTCCTATGAGGTATTTGGGGGTTTCTCTTGTCTCTACTAAGTTGTGTAAAATAGATTATTCGATCAATTGGTTGCTAGGATTACTAAGAGGATTCAATCGGTAGCTAATAAAAGCGTTGTCGTATGCTGGTAGAGCCCAATTGATTAAAAGAATTTGTATTAATAGAATTCTTAATTTTAATATATAATAGAATTTGTATTTGTTCAATTCCACTCTCTTAATAGAATTTGTATTTGTTCAATTCATTTCTTAATGGGTTTTGAATTTTGTTTTTTTTAATTACAAATAAATCTTTGGGTTTAGTGTTATTATTGGATTAAAAAAAAGGTCAAATGATGGTGTTTGACTACAATTCTAGATTCTAGATTATTTGATTTTTTTTAGCTTATTAACTCAGAAAAAGTGAGATTACTTGTAATTGTTTCAACTTAAGAATGTGCCTGAATTCATTAGAAGCTAAATAGTATAATGATAGTAGAAAGAAATGAGATAAAGTGAGATTATTTTTAATTAAATTCCATGTATATATAATAATTTAGTTGCCATTTTTTTTTTTTTAAATATTAGCAAAGATATGTATCAATACTAACATTGAGAACACCAAGAAAATGAAATCTTTAGATACCACCATAGTGCATTTGCTAATCATTTTTCATATTGGTGGAGTTGTGCCTCTTTGGGTTGGTTCAGACCATGGTTGTTTTGTTGTGTTATGCCTCTAATTTGGTTGCTTCAAGCCATTATTGTTTAGTTTGGTTGTCAGGTGGCATGAGAGATGTCACACTCTTCGTGGTTTTCATGAAAATGTTGTTGGCTTTGAATTTCATTCTTAATTTTTTTAATACAATTCCAAAAGGATGTAGCCATGGCTAGAACTCTGTTTTTGTGTATATAACCAACTCTACTATACAGCTATATCAATATGATATTGAATAAATGATGGGCATGACAACCCAATACTACACACACATGAGGCAAAGAAGATTTCATTCCTATGAGGTATTAGTAAGTTTGTTGTCCCCTAGTACATGGACTAACTAAGGATGTCATTTACATCTTTTCTAAACACAGACAGCATAGGATATCCATATGTATAAAACATTTCAATAGAGTCACTACTACAATAATGGTTAAAGTCATACTTTTCAAATTGAATTTAGATAAGAATCATGCTTAAAGTAGCAAATTATGAGTACAAAACTCTTAAGTTTTGCTCAAAGCATGCTTTAGTCTGAATTTGTGTTCAATGTTAAAGAGTATAGATGAGGAACATGAGGTTGCTCCTTCCATGCTCCATTCTACAGATTGATGTATAGATTTTATAGCTTTCTTTTGTTTTATTTTAAAGCTATTTAAATTATTTTATAGTTTTTTTTTAAATTTAATTTTTTTTTAAATTTGACAATTCTAGTGTTTCTCTAAGCCGTGTTTGCATTGCTGAATATATCTATTGAATTGTGGTTTTAACTTTGCATATCTAAACATCATTTATAATTTTTAGATTAGATATTAGTCTCTTGAAGAAGAAATAGCCTTTGGACCTGGTTGTTGGTTGTGGGATTATTTAAGAAGTGGGGCTTCTAGTTTTCTGCATCCACTTTCTAGTGGTGCTGGTTTCTAAGGCACATAAGGGTTATGTTTACAAAATTGGAATTGTACGTGGTGTTTTTATATTATTTTTGTTACTCTATCAATGACATTTTATTTTGCATGTTGGCCAACTCTTGGTTGTGAACACACTTTTGGAAAATTCCAGAAGAGGTGGGTATTTCGGGTTGTAGTACACTGCAGAGAAGGATCTTTCTATTCAAAGATATGCTGTCATTCCATTGTCTCCAAACAGCGGATTAATAGGATGGGTACCAAATTGTGACACCCTGCACCATCTCATTCGGAGTAAAGAGATGCTAGAAAGGTCCGCTAAGGTTCATTTGATGCTTTGTGTGTGTGTGTGCGCGCGCGCGCACGCGCATTTCGTCTAATTTTTTGTGCATGTTTCTGGTATATAGATCACCTTAAATCTAGAGCACAAACATATGCTTAATTTTGCTAAAGATTATGACCATTTGCCACTTATAGCTAAAGTGGAGGTGTTTGAGTATGCTCTGCAAAATAGTGAAGGAAATGACCTGGCAAGGGTATGTTTTCTTCAAGAAATATGCTGCATCTTTGGCTCTCTCCTAGGAATTCTTTTCTCAAGTTAGTTACATTGCCTCTTGATAGGTGTTTTAGTTAAAAAGTTGCACTTTTGAGAATTGGCTGGACAGGAGGACAAATTATGCTAGAAGCTTGGCTGTCATGAGCATGGTATCATTTTTCTTCTCGTATTATTTAGATCTTTTTCTTAAGACCAGCAAGATCCGGCTATATATGTTTCCACAAAATCAACACAATATGGCTCCCGTGTATGATCTTATTTGTCAACCTTTTATGCTTTAGAAATGTTTAGATAAGAGAATGTTTCGAAGTAAATGTATGTTATTTGATTATACTTTTCTTTCTTTGGTTAGAATGATATACTAAGAAGGAACCCTGCAAATCACTAACTTAATTTGTGAATATATACCCAATACAATTGTGTGATTAGGTGTCTAAAGTATTTGAATGCTTGTGTACATATCTTTCATTGTGTAGATATATGATTTTTTGGGTACTGATATTCTTTCCGTTGTATACAGGGATTCTTTGTTATTCTTTCATGGATGCCTATATATTTTAAAACAGTAAGGCCATAGCTAGCCTAAAAGTTGTAGTTTATCAGCAATTTATCACATACTCAACAAGTGTACTGATTTTATGAGAAAGATGAAATACATGTCTCTTTGTTATAGATATATCATGTCCACCTCAGACAAGCAGCTTGGTCTTTCAAAAAAGTAAAAACATAACCAAAGACAACTTCTATTAATTTTGTTTCCAAAATGTATTTACTAGTAGTCATGGTCCACGCAATGGACTCATGAATATCATGTATGGTTGTCCAATTTTTTATTTTTTAAAATTTCTTTCTAATTTTGATTCAAACAGGCAATAAACAATCATTGATGCTGGTTTCACAAAATTGCATGTAACCTGGAAAACTAGAAGTTTGAATTGAAATATTTCTGTCTACATTTGTTTCTCTTGTTTTACTTTTGGATTTTCCTATTAATCATGTGATACATTAAGCATCAGGTATATCCTTACTTGCAGTCAATTGGTTTTGTTGGTCCTGGGATTGCGCTCAATGGTCTAACCATGGCAAAGCACACATCAATAGCATCTGCTTGGCTTACTTTAGCTGTTGGGCTAAAATCATTTAGTCATTGTGAGTTCCTTGTGAATCTTCAGGTTAGTGTACTCAGAAAAATATCACTTGAAATTAAGAACAACATAAATTCTGTTTTCATCCACGTCTAACCTTATTTTCATTCTTTTCTACGAAGCAAGGTCTCTTAAGAAGTAAGGTTTCAAAGGACAATTTAAAGGAGGAGGTATCCCATGAACTCGTAGATCGCCGTTTTGGTAAGTCCCGCTTGTTTTATGTTTTTATTTTTCTAATGTTGGTTAGTATATACTAGTTAAAGCATAACAATTTCACTAATTATTAACTAAGATTTAACAAGTTCGAAGATGTATTTAATGAAAATAGATTCATTAGTTACTTCTTAGTTAGCATGATCCTTATTAAAATACACATTAACCAAAATAGAGACAAAATTAGGTGTATATTTTTTTGTGTATTTTTGCTAGGTAGTGTTGGAGTTGCTCTAATTTAGTGATGTGATTAATAGGAGCTTGTCATGTATAAAGGAACTTTTGGTTGTTAAGCTAGACTCATTGTGTACACAATTTGTATTGACATGGATAAAGAGGTCTATACAATGTAATTGATAATATCTTAATTTTTTTTTTTTTTTGTTTATTTGCTTTGCAAATTGGTTTTTGATGACGTTTGGAAGCATACTTGCAAATCAAGATCAAGTGTTAATTTTTTTTTTTCTGAGCTAATACGTGGTTCTAGTTGCAAATCAAGATTGAATGCTGATTTTTTTTGTGAACTTCATGTTAGTTCATTTTTGGATTGGCTTTGATGGTTTTTTTGTTATACTTAATGGATTGTTATTAAATTTGTTTGATAGATATATTTTGATTTACAATATAAATTTTTTGGTGAATTTTTTTATGGAGTGGTATATAATAGCTAGTGGATTTCTTAGTACATTTAAAAGGTTATTGGGATATGAATAGGGATATTTGTAAAATAATAATTCAAATTGAAATACAAAATATGGGACAAGTTTAGTGACGAATTGCTTTCGTCATTTGTATTTGTTATTATGACAAAGTGACTATTTGTCGCTAATAAATATTTTTTGTGACAAAATTTACTATAGTTTATATGAAGGTTTTCATTAATTTTGTTGTTTGGTGATTAAAAATTTCGTCATGTATATATATTTTTGTTACGAAATATATTTCGTCACCTATGTATGATATTTGGAGACGAAAAATTTTGTCAACTTTACATCTTACTGTGACGAAATTATTTCCTCATCAATGATCAACATGTATGACAAATTTATTCGTCAACTAAAGTTATAAATGTGGTACTGAATAACTATTTGGTGACGAAAATGAGGATTTTTGGTGACAAAATGTTGTTTTATTGGTGACAAAAAGTTTCGTCACTAAAGTAATTTCACTGGTGACGAAATTATTTTTCGTCACGATGCTTTTTAGTGACAAACATTCAATGACGAACCTGGTGACGAAAATATTTCCTCACAAATATCTATAGTGACGAAATTAGCTCTTTGGAGACGAAAACAATTCGTCATCCAAGACCTAACTTGTTGTAGTGGTAGTCTCGACCCATTGTTCAAAATTCCATGAATTCATCAAAATTCAAACAACAACTTCGTGTATGTAAAATCCATGTTTTATAGCTTACATTTACAAGCTTCAAGACTTAAAATTGGGCTTCAAAACATGACAATTCATGCAGGCATGTGTCAAACAACTCTTAATTCAATATGATCATTATGGTTTATACTCAAATATGAGAAATCACAATAAATTCATGCATGCATGCCCAGGTTGATCTCAAATTCAACACATTTAGCTCAATTCTTATATTTATCAACATATACTTCTTGAATTCACATAGTTATGAACTTAAGCTCATGAAGTTGAGTTCAATTACACACCTAGAGTCTTTAACTCTTCCAAATCTAGTTTGTCCTTGAGCCTATCTCTTCAATTTTCCAAGCTTTGAGCTCAAGTCTTCAAATTTGGGCTAGAGGCTTAGGCATAAATTCAATTGATTTCATACATGCCCCTGGAGGCTTAAGCTATGACCGACCAGCAATCCCAGATTACACGGCTTCGAAGACAAAACAAATAATAGTAATCGAGGCTTTGCGGAAGCAATAATAGAATATAACTTTGTCCATCAAGTTGTGCATACATGCAAAATTCATAAGTATTAAAGCCATAAACTTCCTACTGACATTCATAGATACATAAGTACAACACATCTAGTTAAACTCCTTATACATAATATCCATTCAAAACAGGCCGCCAAATGACAAAAACAAAACAACATAAAACAAAGGGTTGACATAGCTTGGCTCCACTAGAGTCCAAGTACGCCCCATCATGAAGGCACTCTAAAAGCAGCTTTCCAGACGGTGGACTCTGGAGGCTTCTCTAAACTTGATGTTCAATTTGTCACCTATATATACATAGGGTAAAGAGGTGAGTTAAAACCCAGTGAGTAAAATCAGTATAAAGAAGTTAAATGAATGGTGTCTACCATAATACAAATCATATCTCATGAGTTTTGAAACGAATCATAATTAAGTACTTGTCATATCAAAAGTTCGTAATTCATAACTCATATGTGGTACGTCCAATAGCGCAAAGAAAAAGGCCCGAAGGCATATATCAAAGGGACCATAAAGGTCAAGAAATGAACTACATGGGTCTAAACGAAGGGACCATGTAGGTCAAGCAAAAAGACCACTTGGGCCAACATCAGAGATCTCTACAACCAAATAGTGAAGGGCCTTGGTATTATTTCATCTAGGTGAGGGCCTTATCAAACAAAGGGCCATGGTATTGTTTTCCCCAGGTGAGTGTTGGACTATAGGATGCCACAAATACATTTCAAATGCGACAATCATTCATACAGTCAAAATAGCATTTCACAATAACATTCTTTAAGTAATTCAAAATACATTTGAACATATTTTTACAAGGATACTACTCACAATGGGTTCGCACAAGTGTTAGACCATGGATGACTACTACGCATAACAAAAATACACATTGAAGCAAATGTACAAAGCAAGTATCGTATCTTGATTCAATTCTATTTGTGTGTTTTTAACTTATTCCATAACTAAGGATGTCTAAATGATGCTTAAGAATGCCTGAAAGGGTATAGAGATGCAAATATGCACATATGGGTGTTTGCTAAAAATTGCTGAAATAGGGTCTTCTCTCAAGCGTACCTTTGGTCACTCAAGCAGTATGACTTGATTGCAAAAGTATTGGATGATGTTAAAATAGGTACGAGCCATCCCTTGGTTGCTCGAGCTAAATGCAATGCAAAGTTGAGTTTGCTCGAGTGCGCACTTTGTCACTCGAGCGAACTGCAAATGTCTGTAAAAATACTAGAAGCATGCAAAATACGCTCGAGCGACAAGTTCATCGCTTGAGAGAAGTGAACGAGTTTTTCGTTTGTCAGATTGCATTTTGGAGTTCAAAAGCACATCTCTCATGTTCAAAACTTGCATGACTTTGCAACAACATGTAGAAACTTTTTATAAAGTACGAACACATGGAATTTGTGAAACTATACTCTCAAAACTTCTTTCAATTTCCCAAAACAAGTCCCAAAACTCAATGATTTTGCCATGCATGCAATAAATTGAACTTCTTTCCTTTCAAAACTTGATTATACAAAATAAGTGTGTAATTATGGAAAATCTTTCAAGTTAATGTGTCTAAGCTCCATTTATGTATGAGTTTGTAGAAAATCAAGCTTCAAGATGAAGAATTATGCATGCATGTACAATTTCAACTCAATCCTACAAGAATTCAAGTGATTTTAACATCTTTCACCTAATTTCATGCAAATGATCCTACAAGCTACATGAATTCAATTTTACATGGATTATTTACAAAGATTATGGGTAATGATATTACCTAAAGCTTGAATTTAGAAGTTGGAAGCTTAATCTCCTCAATTTCCCTTCAAATTCACTACAATTCTTCTACTCTCTGTCTCTCTAGAAGTTGGTCCCTCTCTCTCTTTACTACCTTAGACACGTTTTTGTTGAAAATGAGCTCAAAATATGTTAAGGCATATATACATATATATATATAAGTAGATTAAGTTAAGCTAATTAAGTAGGGTTAGGGTAATTAATCTAACTTAAGTATAATTAATCCTAATCATTTCTAATTGATTTTTTTCTAATTATTTTGATCTAAATCAAATTTTAATTAGATTTGTCATGTGGTTCCAAATATTTCAATTAGTGTATTGAACTAATCAATTTTGGTTTCTGAATCTGTTTGGGATTTCATTGTCGAATTCTAAGTCAGTACTCAAATAGATATTTCATATGCAAACAGATAAATACAAATTAAATACATAATCACACAATTATATTCAATAAAATAATATATTAGAATAATATGTATGTCGGGGTCATCATAGTTGTATTGGTGGTTTGGAAAATGTTTTCTTGAGAAACAAACATAGCATAAATGTACTTAAACTACAAGTTATTGCCAATTTTGTTCTTCGAATTGACGGCCTTAAGGACTAAGTTATTAAAATGATTATAAATTTTGTTTTCCACTGTTTCATTAGATCTCATGCTACATATTGGCTGATCATGAATAAATGATGCTCTAAATAAAACTATGAATAGGGTCATCATAAGAGACTCCCAGAACTACTTTAGTCTCTCAATTTGTCTTAGCAATCATCCCATTGTCCGGCCAATGCCATGTCAACAACAATCTCATACATTTCTATCCCAAGAGGTAAACAATCATTTAATCAAAACCTTTTTGACAATATACGACCTTATTAATTAAAATACTTGTTCTTATTAACTGTAGGTTCGCCTTTCAAAGAAAGAGAAGAAGAAGAAAAACTAATATGATAAAAGTACCTGCATCGCAATTTTTTAATTTCACAACTTTCTAAATCTATTAAGACATGATGTGATTTGGTGCTGGATATTACACTACAAGAAAAGTCACTTTTGGCGACTAAATTTTTAGTCGCCAAAAGTCTGTTTTTAGTCGCCGGAAGTCGAAATTTGACTTTCCCCGACAAAATTCTTTAGTCGCCACATTTGTCGCGTATACGTTGTCGGTGTAGGCATTGGCGACTAATATTTTTTTAGTCGCCAAAAGACAGGTCTTTCGCGACTAAAATGCTAGTCGCCAATAGTGTTTTAGCCTTTTGAAAATCATACATTTACCGACTAATAATTTAGTCGCCAATACTCAATCAATCGCTGACTAAACGACTTAGTTGCCAAAATCAAGACTTTTGGCGACTAAAATATTAGTCGCCAAAGGTGTTCCGTCGGAAAAAGAAAAAACACTTTTTTTTGGTTTTTCTGAGTTTCGAACCGTGCCCAACCATCCCACATTGCAACCTTTTTTGCAACACACTCCCTCCACTATGCCACTACAACATCACATGAATATATTTGCAATATATATTATTTATATAATATATTGACAGTATTAATACAAAACAATATATATAAATATAATTATTTTAATTCAATATAATTTATGTAAAAAATAAATTATTTATTAAAAAAAATTTTAGGCCACTTTTGGCGACTAAATCCATTATTTAGTCGCCAATTCTATGATTTTTGGGCTACTAATTATTTTTTTGTCGGTAAAAAAACAAGTTGAAATTAAAAATAGTAGTTTTGGCGACTAAACCTGTTTTTAGTCGCCAAAAACGTGTCCTTTTGGCTACTAAACTGAATTTTAGTCACCAATTCACTGTTTTTAGCTACTAATTTTTTTTTTGTAGCCAAAAACCTTCATTTTCAGCGATTAATCTTTTTTTAGTCGGAAAAACACCTATAATCGGAGACTAAAATGTTTTTTAGTCGCCAAAAGCATCACTTTTGGCTACAAAATTATTTTAGTCGCCAAAAACAGTCACTTTTGGCTACCAAAAAACCTTTAGTCGCTAAAACCCCTACATTCTGCGACTAAACTGCCTTTTAGTCGCTAAAAGCTTGGTATTCGGCGACTAAACTATTTTAGTCGGCAAAAGGGTTCAATTTTCGCGACTAAATCCATTTTAGTCGCCAATTATACAACTTTTAGCGACGAAAAATGAATTTTTAGTCGCCAGAAACACTTTTTCTTGTAGTGTTAGTGAATAATTGAAGATCACAAGTTTGAAGCTGAAGTATTTGTTTTGAATTATAGTGGTAGAGCTGAGTTTCTTAGTTTTAAGGAACTTGACATTATTCACACTTGGAAGATTGAAAAGTTTTCGTCTGTAGATAGTGAAATTATTTACTCTCATGTCATCACTGCTTGAAGTTGGGAGTGGTATACATTATATGAATTTTGCTCGTCTCTCTATTACTAAGCCGTTTGGGAGAGTATTAATAAGGTAGGGTAAATTATAGGAATAGGTTGGTCAAAGCTGTTAAGATTAAGGTAAAATACGAAATAATATCGTTAAAATAATTGAGTTTAAAACTAAGAATTTGTACTCAAAACTTAGGAAAACCAGACATGTTTCCATGTGTAATATTTTCAATAAAAAATAAATAAATTCTAATGTAATAAATTTCATTATAATCATTGGACAAATTATTTTGCTTCAATAATTGAATTGACTAACCATCATTTATGTTTTTCCTTTTTTTTTTCTTTTTTTCTTTTTTTTTTATATTATTATTTTTGTTTGTTTGCTTATTTATTAGATAGAGTTGATTTATTTATCTTTTAGGATTAAATTTTGCTACAGTTGTGTCCACAATTAGTACTAGTTAATTGACCCAAGTATAATAACATTCTTTTAAAAAGTTAAAGAATATATTTTTAGATAAAGATTTAAATTTTTAACAAAGGCATAAGTTATATAAAATATTTAAGATTCCTAAATACATGTTGGGTGTTGCTTGGCAGTGTTATAGTCAGCGGTTTTGCTCCTTACGGTTAAGATGCTGTCCAGATTTATCAGTAGAGTGGATTGGTAGCAGCAGTGATTTTGTTCCTTAAGCCTCATTTGTTAGTAGTGTGGATTGGTGATGGCTTCGGTGAAATTTAGTTATTCTGTTATGCTTCTCTTCTGTTTCTTTTTGTTTTGTTGTTGGTTTCTCACCAATTGGCGCTTGAAGCTTCAGTTAGTTCCAAGCTCCTCTTTATTGATGTCCGGTATCCTTTTTGCATACTTCCATCAATAAAGATTTTCTTTGCCGATCAAAAAAAAAAAAAAAGTTGCTAAAGAATTCAATAGATTTTGATTTATGGAACAAGTAAACCAACCATAGATTGCTACATTATTTGGAATGTAGGAGCTCTTACGTAATGGATTGAAGGAAAACCTTTTCTTATTTTAGAATAGTCGACATAGTTGCATAATAAATAAATAAGAAAAACACGACACACATATACGTGATTCGACAAAATTGTGGATGGTGCTCGAGCACACCAGTTTCAATATATTTAAAAATAAAAAAATAAAATAAACAGAATGTAGAATAAACTATTTGTATAAACAAGAATCTATGTGGTACGGTTTACTTTACATCAACAATTGAATTATGGCCTACATTATTCTTTCAATCAACATTTTTAATTTTATTCTTTGAGCAAAAAATAGAATTCTAACGAGAAAGTCGTCTAGTACCATGTGAGAATGAGAATTCAAATGCATCTTTAGCCCTATTGCATGTGGCTGCTGCCGCATTTGACAGCGAAATATAGGTTCATATTACACATTCCCAATTCGTAAACAACTCATTTCTTAATTCATTCGAACAACCATCTCTCTCTCTCTCCCAAACTAACAAACCTGACAGTCGCTCTATAAATAATGTAATCCCCTCCAAAACACATTCACCAATACAAATCTCTAGTGAGAGAAGAAGAAGAAAAAGGAAAAGAAACAGAGGAAACATGGAAGCTCAGAGTCTCCCAAACCCATGTTCCTTCAATGTTCTCACATTCTTTTTCATCATTCTTCTATTAATCTCCCACCATACCCAACCAGTCTCAGCCTCCACCGCCACGGCCACCGCCTCCACCATGCAAGCCTACACAAACTTCATCAGCGCCGCTTGCAACACAACAACATATCCTCCACTTTGCTTCAAAACCCTCTCTCGTTATGCCGTCGTTGTCCAAACCAACCCCTGGAAACTCAGCAACGCCGCCCTCAATGTCACCTTAAAAGCCGCAAAGAGCACGTCTAAATTGGTGTCAAAGCTCGCTCAACATAATGGTCTCACTCCCAGAGATGTAGCTGCCATAAAGACCTGCGTAGAGAACGTAAAAAGCAGCATTGATGAGCTCAAGCAATCTATTCAGGCAATGGGAACGGTTGGTAGTAGCTCTGATAAGCGGTTTCAGATGGATAGTGTCAAGACTTGGATGAGTGCCGCCATCACCGATGAGACTACTTGTACAGATGGATTTTATGGCAGCATAGTGAGTCCCAGTGTGAAAAACATGATCAATAAAAGCATTTTGAAATTCACCAGACTTACTAGTATTGCTTTGGCTCTCATCAACAACCTCACTTATTAACAACGCAACAATGAAATAGTGTTTGATGAAGTGATTTTCTTTTTTCATTTGCTTTTTTGGTTGAAATTTTCATTGTGATATTTGGTTTGGTAAAAAGAAAAGAAGTATATATTCCAAATGAAATTGTGGTTTACCAATTTAGTACAATGCCCATTGTCATAACCATATCCCGCCTCTATAGTATAGAGAGGTGTCGGCTACAAAAGGCCTAGCTTATCGAACCAAAGAATGAACTAAGAATACACTGAGACTTAACATCGGAAACTCATGTTTGTTAATTCATTAAGTTCATGTAGAGCATTGCATAAGTAGATGAGAAAAACTAGGGATCATGAAAAAACTTTTATGAAAATGATCATGAAAGATTTATGACTCTTGGATTACCATGATTAGTGTGTGGTGCTTTATTTCAAGTGTAATCCAAAGGTCATAAATCTTTCGTGATCATTTTGATTAAAAATTTTTCATGATACCTAGTATTGCTCTAAGTAGATATGAAATGAAATAGACAAATCTCTTTCATTAACTTTCAAATAACTTCTCTGCATCTTGTACATAGATTATGAATAGTACAAACATTACAAGCTATGGTCATGTTTGATTCATAAGATTAATAGTGAAGTATTAATAATTCTATTAAATTAGTGTAGTATTCACTATCTAATTGGATTAATATCCATTGGATAAATAATCCCACCCCTACCCCATTACTAATAATCCTACAAATTTGTTGGATTAATTATCCATTGGATTAATAATCCTAAACCAAAATGTTAAAACAAACATAGGATAATTGGGCCCACGGATTAATAATCACAATCTCATGTTCTAATCCACCCAATCAAACATGCCCTATAATTACAAAACCCATACTAATTATTACAACTCAACTAAATCTCTTTGCAAGGGTACAAAAGTCTCAAAAACAAGATGTTAGTCACAGTGCAATCAAAACTCTTCAAATATCCTTCTAACCTTGTTCTCCATTTTCATCACCCACATGCGTACAAGGAAGATGGGTGAATCATGACCTAGTGAATAATATCATGGTAAAGTGATGAATGAATGAATACCAATCCAATTTGCAAAGCATAAATATCATATCACACTTTGTAGACATCCTATTTTTGACAGCTCTTACCACTTGGGTGCCACCGATTTGATCACCCAATGATGATTTGTACGCTTGTCCAAATGCTCGATTTCCTCACCAGGAAACATTAGTTTTGAACCTACAAACCTTGTGTCTTGTTTTTGGACCAAAACAGTAGTTTTCCAAGCTGGACCATCCAAGGGACCGGCAGGCCCACTAGTGGCTTGTCGTTCACTGTTAGTGGCCTGCCGGCCACATGTGTGAAAATTCAGATCTTTTTGCCAGCTATGCCAACTATCTCAACAGATGCATGCACTGCCTTGGCTGTATCTGTGTGGATATTTTCGAGATGTTTTGATATATTTCTTTATATAAATGACTCTCTCTCAAAAATTAGGGTTAGAAAAATTTGGGGAGCAAATATTTTGGAAAATATTTCTCTCTACATTTCTCTCTCTCCCTTGTAACTTCTATACCCTTTGCCTAGACACTCTAAACCAAACCTTGAGGGTTCTTTGCTGAAGTGTTTGAGTTTGTATTTTAGCTCTTGAGGGCATAGAATTAGTGGTTTATAATTCAAAAGGGTCATTCCTCTTCAAGAGGTACCACTTCAAGTCTCCTATACTTGTACTTTCCCTAAATTATTTCTATGATTTATTGCTACTTTTGGGTTGTTTTTCACCTACATTTGTGGGCTGAAACTTGTGGTTTAAAGCCATTAAAGGTAGAGGGGTGGACCACCATTCTTTGAGCCTTGTCTTATAGGCTTTGGCCCTTGTGTTTCCCACCTTTTCATTAACTTTTTTTTAAGCTATTTACAATTGATTTTTAGAGATTTTCATAGGCTAAAAAGGTGGTTTTGAAGTCCAAAAAATGGAGGGGCTAGCCACCCTACCTTTGGCTTAATTATTAGCTTTATTTCTCCATTATTTTAGGTTACTCTTTTAGCTTTGTGTACCTTAATATCAGTGTTGTTTTAGCATATTTTAGGACTATTTTAAGTTGTTCATGTCATTTATGCTTTGTATTGCATGCTTGTAGTGTAACAGTCCTCATAGGTTTGGTGTTTTAGGCATTAGACACCAACCTATTTGAGTTGATAGCATTTATTTCAAGCTTTTCATACTTGTATTCATCTCTAATCATCTCTGTACTTCTCTCATTTCTTGGCTTCTTCCTTACTTTGAGAGTCATTTCAAACCGATTGTTTGTTTAAGCTTGAGATAGAGATTGTTGTCCTTAATGGTTTAATCTCTTCGGAGGTTCATTACCAATGGCATGACATCTCTTTCATGCCTAAAACAACTCTTTGTTTGATACTTCTTGCCATTAGTGGACTTAATGCTCATTTTAGACTAAAATGACTAATGAATGGAAAGGTAATTAAAAGAAGTGTTAAAATTGGAATAAAATGGAGCATGATAATAAAATAGTTTGGGGTTCAATCGGACGCTGATTAAACCCGTTGAGTCTTGAAGCATTTCATACTAACTAGTGATGAAAATTCTTCAAGTTTCAACATCAATCGCTTTCCTTGATCAATATCATGATAGAGAGGGGGTTCGTGAGTCTTTAATTATGCATTTATTGAAATTGTATCCCTTCGTTCATAAGTCATTACGCAATGGATTTGCACCGATTGATGGCTTGTGAATCGAGCCTACCACTTCTTTTGGCTGCTTTATGATTAGGAGGGGTAGGGTGGGCAGACATCCCCTGAGAATGCTCTATTTGTACTCTATTTGTTTTCTATTGCAGCAGGAGAAACTCAACATTAGTGGTCGACAGGCCACCTTTACTAGGCGGTAGACCATTATTAGTAAAAAAAAGAGTGGGCGGCAGACCACCTTTACTTGCCAACTACCTTCTTTAGCCAGACAGTACCACTTTCTTCCCAAAGCAGAGCAGAGGCTGAGGTGTAAAAATAGTGCAAAGGCATTCTCGCGGGAGAAATTCATATGCATGCATAAACCATTTCCTTGCTCCTCAGGACCCGTTATATTTGTTAATAGTAGTATGTCATATAACATGGAATTAATTACTTAGTTAATCAGTTACTTAATGTAACTAATTAGTTAGTTTAGTTGGTTAATTTGTATTAATTAGTTAGAGTAGCTAGTTGATTTAATCCTGTGTTGTAATTATTTAATTAGCTAGAATAGTTAGTTAAGGTCAGTGTTGTAATAATTAGTTAAGTAGCTTAGCTAATTCATTCATTCGGACCCTCCTACGCGAGGGCAAACTTGCAATAATGTATACGTCTTCCAACCCCACGTCTTTCTCCCTTTTATTTATCCGCTTATGATGGATAGCATAGAGCATCATGTTTTGTTTTAGCATTTTCCCTGATTTGCATCCATTGATCTTGCATGCATAAGGTTCGACTTATCATTCTAACAAGTATTGTCGTTTAAATACTTCTTTGAAAACGTGCTCAAGCTGCATGCTATGAAATTGATTCACATACCATGTTAGTAGCCAAGCCTATTAATTGCATATTACATGTGTTGCATTACTCATTATAGTTAGAGCATGCATTTTTCTAACTCTTTTCTTTTGGCTCACCTTGGATTACTAGATGCGCATTTATTGCTTTAGCATATTGCATGAGTGTGATTGTTGCTATGTCAAGCATATTTCGATGTGGCTAAGTACTTAAGCGATGTAACTTTTGAACGTCTATGGATGAAGGCTAATTGCTTAAATTGAAATAATTTGAGTAATATACATATGTGATCACTTTTTCAAATGGTACACATTCAAACACTTTTAAAACAAACATGAAATTAAAAAGTTCTAACTTTTGCAAATTAGTCTATACTTGTATACAACACATAGTAAAATAACCTAATAATCAGAACAAGAGCATATAATGTAAATAAGAATCACATCATGATTAGTAGAGACTGATCTTTGATCGGGCAAATTGAGTGCTCAATTCATGACCTTCCCCTCTCGTACCTAAGTTCCCGAGCCGAGACACTTTGGTGATGACAGATAAGTAGCCTTTGGCATGAGTCTCAGGTTTCCTAAATTTCTCAAAAATATTTAGGTGGTGACTCTATAATCTGGCAAAGTAGTCCATTTTTCACATTTTTATTCAAAATTGATTTTCGAAAAGATTTGCTGGATTTGAACTCTTTTGTGTTTATTTATTTCACATTGCACTTGTGAGATCAGATTCAGAACCACATGAGTTCAAACAGTAGGTTTAGTCATATCCGAAAGGAGCACGAAAGGAAAGCTACAGTTTCTGGCGACTCTACTGGGGAAATTTAGAGAACTTGAGTTGGACTTTATGATGTGAAATTTTATCTACACTTATATGTTCTTTACGTTTGCATTTGCATTAGTGCGCTTAAGTCACTGTGTTTGCCATCAATTATTCCTGGACGGTTTGTCTGAGGCTTCCCCAAAAACTTGCCAAAAGGCTGACCGGTCGTGGGCTCTGTCATGTTGGGAACACAACACTTAGATTTGGACTACCGCTATACCGTTTGATCCTCCTTTCACTTCTCGGTGTTAGGTGTGAGAGGTATATTAGGTAGTCTTGTTGAGGCATCCTTTTTGACCATTTGGCCTAGTTGCATGTAGAAAGCCATAGTGACTATTTCAGACTAGGACAAGATGCTCACCTGAATGCAGGATTGCATGAAAACCGCGTGATTGAAATAGTGAACCCTAGTTCATGACAAAACTAGGACAGGGTAACCCAACCCCCTCATAAAGGATGTTTTGGCTCTCTATTAACTGGTATATGTTTTGCAGTGAAACTGTACATGAACACGCATATTAGTTGCAAGGTTGGTATTTGTTTTGGGGCAGAATTCAGTATGGAGTACAATCCTACAGCTTTGATCATGTCTATGCTGATAACATCTTAGCTGAGGTAATGTGCAGTTTCTGATTGCTATTCTTTCACTTTATTTCTTTTGCTAGGAAGTTTAAAACCATTGCTTCAAAAAGTTCGGATATCCCCCAAGTGCTCTAGACCCGAGTCGGAAGGCTTTGCAAGGCCGAGGATCTTATTTGGGGACAACCTGTGTTTACCTCA